ACCAACCCATCTACATATGAAGCAGATACATCAGCATATCAAGGAAGACACACGAACACACTCTTCTAATAAACACCCAGACATCATCCATGAGGTTGTCTGTGACTCGACCAGATTTCATTTTGGTTTAAGTGAAAAAAGTATTTTGGCGTGGCGATTTTTGTTTCTTTTGGGACAGAGTCTGACTTCTGGCCACGAAACAGAACAGAACAGAACAGAACAGAACAGAACAGAGCAGAATAAACAAACATTATTATGACCAAATAAAAATGCAAATAAATTTGTATTTTATGAGAAAACAATTTCGACAAATCCTGAAAGGGGGCACAGGGCCAGACGGAGACGGACACTCGGAGCGAAGTCGTTGGCCAATAATGAAGGAGTTTATTGAAATCGACGCTGGCTCGCATAGTCCTTGCTTCATTAGACCCTACACTATCCAATTCCACTCCCGTATCCCTTATGCCTGTTGATGGCCACATCTCCCCTCGCCGTGGAAATGCAAATAATTTGTGACCTTTGCCAGCGTGCGAGGAATTTCTCAGCATTCCTGGCACTGCACAGAAATTCCTCCAGTGGAGAGTCCTTGTGTATTTTTATCTATCAGCTATCCCATCTAAATGCTGCTCATGTATCCAGTCAGCAGGCAGTTCTTCCTTCGCTTCCTTCCCCCTGGCATTTTCTGCTGATTTGTTTTGTTTGGCCATACATATATACCCCTGGGATGGATGGACAGTTGCTGGCACGGAAAGCGATAAAACAAACGAAAATATTTGTGAAATCGCTGCACTAATTTGATTCCTGCTGTCCGGGCAGGACACTGAGCCACTGACAGGTCATTATGGAGTAGCAGCAGCAGCTTAGGACATCGCATTGGGCTTAAAGACATTCCCACTTCTGCACTCATTGTTCTGCCAAGGCTGCTGCCACTGTTGCTGTGACGTTAATTATGGTCAATATAAGCTCCTTCCCTTTGCCCATGGCTCGTGCTGCTGGCTCGTGGCAGACAGTGCAACAAATGACAGAGTACACTCGTCGAGCACATTGCCCCAAAAGAGTTTCACAATTGAAACGTGTCATTTGCCGTGGAAGCGTAAATGGTTTCATTTGGTTAATGTGCTCTTCCCTGTGGGGGCGTACAGTGGGGTACATTGAATGTGGAAATGCATTTGCAATGCCTTCATGGCACTTGTCCTCAAGTTTGAGAAATCTAAATGCTTTCAATTTAATGTTGATTGAAATTGATTTGAAGCATTTAGCAAGGGGATTCAAAGTGATTAAAAGCCAGGGAAATTCTTGCATGTTCCAGCTGCAATTTTCAGACACCCGAATAGAGCATTTGGTTGTCTGTCTGGTGCTCGTTGCTCTCTCCATAATTTTGCACGTAGCAGAACAGCACAGAAATTTATTTGTCTTAAATGTTCTTAAATGCGCATTGACCGCTCCACAATGAACCCATTCTGCCCTTAGGCCACTCTCTGCTGGTGGGTCCTTCCGTCCTTCCCTTTTGGATGCTGACGCATTTGCGGGTGCTGGTCACTGGGCCACGTGTGTGTGGGCCCCTGAATGTGCTTGGCCATGAGCAATTGGCATTACCAGAGGCTTAGTTTTTGGGTCCGGTCTTTGGGGCCAACACAACAGCAACTTGTTGCCCGGCCACAGCATTATGTTAATTGTGCGCGCAGTCTGGTTCTGGCCTTTTGCTATTTATGAAGTTATTAAGTGCGATATTTATGCCGGGAACCGCAGCAATGATAATCCCAGAGGCCTGCCGCCTAATAAGTAATAACACATTTACATGGGACATTTTTGGGAGTGTCGAGTGCTAGAGTTAAATATTTGCTTGAGGATGGAGCTGTGGGAACTTTATAGCCAGCCAGCAATTACCAGCAATCTGTGTGAAAGTTGCTGGTTGCGGGTGTGGGTGTTGGGGGGTGCTGGCCATTGTCTTTGTGCGACAAACCATAAAAACAAACTGTTAACAGTTGGCGCTTGAGCATTGATTGACCAGACAAGTGCAAGCAATGGAGCTTCAGCTTCCCTTAGTATAAACATCAGCTGCTGCACTTCACACGGCGACGTGACACAGTGGAGCGATGCCCAAAAGTTGGCACACAAATAATGAAATAAATTTCAACAATTTAGACACACCCAAAGGATATCCAACTGCCACTTAGTGGTTTTCCCATATTTAAATGCAATTTTGTTTGATTTCTGGCACCACAGTGCCATTGCCTGTCTGCCTCCGTCTGGCTGTCATGAATGAAGCGCTCTTTCCTGTGGCTAACACACAGTTGCAAGCCACAGGATTGATAGACAATGTTTGTGCGCTGATTTATATACTCCGAGTCGCCGCTGCTATTAAATAGATATTTTGCGCTATTACGTCCAGCCCGGCGGGAACTGAACTCGACTTTATTATGTGACTTTCAGCGGGGTACGTGCGGGGTCTTTATCCAGCTTAAAGCACACAAAACAGACACAAAATGTACCCAAAAATTTAATTGTAGAAAAGTTTTAAAGAGTTTTGGGTTTGGCTTTATCAGCGATGTGTGTGCGAGTGTGTGGGCCATTATTCGCGGCTCATGAGAACAAATTCTAAGACGTGAATTTCATTTTACAGCCGCCTTGTCGGCAATCCCATTAAGGAATTATCTGGAGAAACATTTCTGCACAACACTCGACTGGAGGCACTGTAAGTAGGGTGGGCAACATTCAAGGTTAACAGATAAATACGCCTAAAGGTGTTCCGTTGCAGCTCCCTGGCCCAAATGCCGCTCCACATCCATCGCAGCCTGATGCAGCCGCTGAACATTTCGTTCCTAAATCTGACGGGCATCCGCTACGACCACATTGACTTTGCGGCCATCAATGGCATGCGGAATCTCACGTACATCATTTACGATCGTTTCTTCTACTGCTCCATGACGCCTCGCGTGCGTATGTGCAAGCCATCGACGGATGGCGTGAGCTCCTTCAAGGATCTGCTGAGCAAGCCGGTGCTGCGTTACTCTGCCTGGGTGATGGCCACGCTAACCATTGCAGGCAATGTGCTGGTGCTCTGGGGACGCTTCATCTATCGGGACGAGAACATGGCCGTGACGATGGTCATACGAAATCTGGCATTGGCTGACATGCTGATGGGCTTTTATCTGATCACCATTGGCATACAGGACTATCGATACAGGAACGAGTATTACAAGTGAGTGAAGAGAAACCTTAAAGATATATTTTACACATTTTATCCCCTTGCAGAGTGGTCCTGGACTGGGTTAGCTCGTGGCAGTGCGTGGCCATTGGCACGCTGGCGGTCAGCTCCTCGGAGGTTTCGATGCTCATTCTGGCGTTCATGTCGCTGGAACGTTTCCTGCTCATAGCGGATCCCTTTCGCGGCCATCGCAGCATCAGTGTGCGCATCATGTGCTTCGCCCTGTTTTGCATTTGGGTGACGGGCGTGGGGCTGGCAGTCGCTCCTGTTGTGCTCTGGCATTCGAGCACCAGGTTTTATGGCGCTCACTCCGGCACCTGTTTCCCGCTGCACATACACGAGGCCTATCCCGTGGGCTGGCAGTACTCGGCGTTTGTATTTCTGGGCGTCAATCTGCTGCTGCTCGTGATGATCGCGCTGCTGTACACGGCGCTGCTGATCTCCATTTGGCGGACGAGGAGTGCCACACCGCTGTCGCTGCTGGACTGCGAGTTTGCGGTGCGTTTCTTCTTCATTGTGCTGACGGATGTGCTGTGCTGGGTGCCCATTATCGTCATGAAGATCTGGGTGTTCTTCAACTATAATATATCGGACGATATCTATGCCTGGCTGGTGGTCTTTGTCCTGCCTCTCAACTCCGCCGTCAATCCGCTGCTGTACACCTTCACCACGCCCAAGTATCGCAATCAGATCTTTCTGCGTGGCTGGAAGAAGATTACATCACGCAAGCGGGCCGAAACAGCGAATGGTAATGCAGGCACCATCACCACAGGCACGGCCACGGGCTCCTCGCAGCAGCCGGAAGAGTCCACCGCCATTGCCAAGTCCATGCCGCTGGCCCTGACGCTGGCAAACTGAAGAAAGTTCATTAGAGAGGAGCCATCATCAGACATCTATCTATCCCCTTATGTATCTGCGAGTATTTATGTATATCTATGTATAACCATCAGTCTATATGTAAGTTAACCAAGGGTAAGCGTGAAATACATTCAATGTGATATTTGTAAGGCCAAGGGCGCAGTCTTTGACTTCACTTGTTCGGGTTTGGGGCGCAAATTGTGCACCATTTGAATTTTCAGATTCCCTCCTTTATTCATCGAAAATTGCTAATGCTGGTGGTGATAGCTCTCACGATAGGAACTAGTGTCATCGCTGAGACATGGTCTGGCAGTACCAGAACATACTGCTGACGATGTGGCAACTCCACACAGCGCTCAAAAATTTGTCCGCAGCAGGCCAGGTTATTAGCAAAAACAAAGGCAATGCAATGGGTTTGGAGCGGTTTGTGAGCAGCACCGTAAAGCCAGATTCGGATCTCGTTCATCCTGATGATGCCCAGTATATTTGGCTGCCCATCGCCGCGCTTGTGGGCATATTCATACTCTCAGCTTTGGTGCGTTACATTTCTTATCGCCAAGTGTTTGAACAAGTGTGCGCCCTCCTTAACGTATGTATTTGGGTTGTGTTTGCAGGTGTACGCCATGTCACGTAGTCGCTGCCAATGCTCCTGTCCCTGCTTGAAACGACTGAAGACGCCCCGCATCGACTACATCAACGTGGATGAGGAGGACTCTGATGTGCCGATGGCCGGTGGGGGGGATGAGTTTGGCGAACAATATGCTGCTGCCAGCTTGCTGGCCGGTCGTCTGCACATAGAGAATGTACGTATGGACTGGCATATGGCCATGGCTATGTGGAAAAAGTAATGATTGCTTATTATTCACAGCGTCCAGGACACTGCCACAGTCCTCCAGGAACCAGCAGTTCTCCTGCCTAGGCGGATAAGCCAATGTCTTGCAAAGAAACTTCCATACAGTTTACTGTCTACATTGTTCATCCTGTGGGTGGTTGTCATCCCTCAGCTTACATACTAAAACAATCCATGTGCCTCTACCTTGGGTATACAAATAATCAAACTAATTTAATGGTCAGTATTTGTGGCGCCCAACAGGCGCGTTGTTAGGTCGTAGAATCCAAAGAAGAATGCCCCGCCAAGTGTGATCCACAGCACGCGCGGCACAAATCCAGCAAACAGACTGAGAAATAAATAATACTTAATTATGTGTAAACAAATACCAGACAGGCGTATCATTTCATTACCCGCTGAAGCCTCGTTCCAGATAAATGCCATGGAGAATGCTGTGAGGGCTGCGACGCCGCGTGAGGCTCTCTCGTTCTGCTAGCATAATTCGTGTCTTGACCACATCCAACGGAGTTGTGAGGCCGGCTGAAATGCCGCCAGCTACCGCTCCGCACAGCGCAACAGTTAGTGGCGTTGACTCGTAGCCCGTCACTGGTGTCCACTGGCGCTTAAAGTACTCCCACAGCGGGAACTGTATTAAGCTGAATGGAATTTCGCGCATGATGGTGGAGCCAAAGCCACGATAGAGACCACGACGCAGTCCTTCCGTGCGATAGGCACGCATCAGAATCTGGAGCGCCGACTGCTGCTGCTTGTGCCCAAGCAGGGTCTGCGAACGCTGTTTGGCTATCTCCACGGGCACGCGGATAAGACAGGCCAGCTATGTATACATAAATGCATTCAATTTGAGTGAGTTTTGATTACGCATTCAATCCTACCACTTCTGCTGTAGATGCTGCCGCCATGTGGACATATGGGGAATCTTTGGTATTGGTGACAGAGCTGAAGAACTGCTTGCCGCACTCGTAGGCACAAAAGAAGAGCGCCGCTGTGGGTGCACTGCCAGCAGCTGCCGGTGCCAGGCCTTTGTAGATACCACGAAAGCCGCCGGCCCGCCAAAAGCCCAATTCGCTTTGAAGTCTCGTCTTTACCGTGTCTATGGGAAAGAGGGCGATGTCGACCACTACGCCAGCCACTCCACCAGCCTATGGAAAGTCATTCAATGATTATTGTATTTGGATTATTGTTCCTGCAACGTACTAACAGGGCATGCAGAAATGAAAATTTTGGCGCTGGGTCCTGCATGCTGATGTGCGCTGCAAGAGCTCCTGAGTCCAGGGCCAGATCTGCAGTCATTGTGTCCAACTATTGATTGCGTTCCTAAATCTTAAGCCATGCTGTCAGGTTCTTTGTTTTAATTAATAAACAAATTGGATTTTGGTTGTTAACGTAACAGCAGGTGTGACCCCGTAATTATCGATCAAATATACCGACAGACCCTCGGAAATATACCTTTTAATTTTAAAAACATACTGTAAATATACCGTAAATTTTAAATCATTTCCTCGACTTTGATGTTCTATTTAATATTACCAGCTGATCAGGACTTTCAGCTTTAAAACTGTAATTTTACTCAAATAACCATTTGATTCTCCACCAGATTGACGGATTTTCATGACTTATCTTTATTGGATTGATTGCATATGGGTGGGAATGACAATTTGTTGCTGGCCAAACGAAAGTCTGGTATGGACTTTTGTATACTCTATTTCCAATAACTAATTTTAAAATTCCATTTTACCTGCTAGTTTTAAACATTAACAATAACTTTATCTTAGGCTGACTTACTTTTAACCTTTTTATATGTTTTCTATGCATATACATAAGTACTATTTAGCGATCTAGATACATTCTCGGTATATTTGATCACCGATCCATTTCTTGTGATCGTACTAATCGCACTAGATCAGCGTTTTTGATACAAGAATTCATGGACCCGATTCTAATTTTTGAAATCTTATTCATCATGGTCCAATCTATTTATTTTATAAAATGAAGATAAATACAAAAAATGTATTTATATTTTGTATTTAATAATCATGTCATTCATAACCCTCGTAGTTTTTATTTACTATATTAGGAGAGTAACGCAATTTAGGGAACAATTAGTAAATACTCTCTTTTTTACTTATAAAACCAAATAAAAATAAAACGCTATGAAATGAAATAAAAAATAAAAAAAGAATGATAGTAAGAAAAAACTATTGTCTAAAATAACATATTTAGCGCGTCAACATAAATCAGTAAAACTCTATTGTTATCAAATTATGAAAATAGATCTAGTGCGGCATAATCAAGTTTGTCATCTTCATGTTATCTTATAATCTAATTTGAATGTATCCATATTTCCATTTATTCGTTACCATTTTTGTAAACTACAAAGTTGCATCTGTAAATAAAAGAAAACCCTCGGCAGTGGGTGGTACCTTTAATGCATCGTATTACAGATATGTGAGCCCATGTGCGCAGCCTGAGCGCTGCGACGTCCCGAACTTTGAAACCGCTTGGCTCTGCTCTGAACTTTGGTGTGAGCCATTTAGTGCAATTTGCAAACTTGTACATAGGTCTTGTGCTCCGGCTGCCAGATTAGTTAGGGGTTTAATCTCACCGAGGTCCGTGCGGTGCGGTGCGGTGCGGTGCGGTGCAAGAGAGCGCATACAGAGTATGAGAGCTGGTCTAGGCAAGAAAGTGTGAATAATTTGTTTATTAGATACTGGCTCGTAAGCCGGCTGGGGCATGGCTTGAGCTGCTGAGTCATTCCGATTCAAGATAATGTACCCGCAACGCAACTGTCCGCATGGCATACGTACATATGTACATACATACATATGTATCTCCACACATGTGCATATCTGAATCTATGCAGGTGTGTGATTCATTTATCCCCAGCACTCAAGCCATGTCTTGGCTTGGCTTGAACCGATCCAGCGACTCATGCATTTTATATAAATGGATAAGTACAACAAATGTTCATACATAGTATACAAAAATACAAAGTCTTCAGTAAACTTGCTACGGTTGATATATACATACATATGTACATATAATGTATGAATGTATAAATGTATATAAAAAGATACTGTTAAAGAACCGTCCAAAGTGAATGCTCCAAAAAGCGATCTAATCATTTATAATTGTTAGCAAGTTGTGTGTTTGTTTTGTCCATTTGCGCTTATCATCGACAGCACCGGCAGAAAGATATCAGTGTGCATTTTGGAGATACTTCCACTGACTAGTCCACACATGTACATACACCTGTAAGTATGTATGAATGAAGGAAAAGCGAACCTTGGGCGGCCTGCTCGACTTCTCGATGGACTTCTACAGAAACATCCGGTTAATTTTTCGAATAATTTACCTTTAACATATAAATACATATAAATATAAATAAATAGAATTGTATTTATCTGAACAGTTTAGAAATTGCAGCTGAATTTATGTACAATTTGAGACTTTTACGGAGTAGGTAGGGTATTGGGGAAGCTGTTAAAGTTCCCACCATGCCAGCACCAAGTCGAGCACGACCAATACACAGTTAAGCTTGACACACTACACATACAAGAACGCTTGGCTAGAGGGAGAGAGAGATGGTACGGTACCGGTGAAGTATGTATATATGCCTGAGAACAGCTGTGTATGTGCACTTGTGTGTGTGTGCTTGGCCCACCTGTTTGGGCTTTCAGGAGCAATCACACGCTTTTGCGCTCGCGGCTGTAGAAAGATTTCTTGCTGCTTTCTTTCTTCTCCACGGGCCTGGGGTTTACTCACTTTTGGCGACAGCAAGCAACAACAGCAGCAAGAGCAACAACGCCAACGGGCTGCGTTTGTTCTTTGTGACTGACTGTGGGGTGTGTATGAGGGCAGGAGAGGCATGGAGTATGGCAGGCGGACCAAGGCACATAACGTAACGAATCGGTGGAGCAGCGTCAGCGTCAACGCCAGCGCCAGCGTCGACGTCGGAGTCGGAGTCATTTGTGCGGGAACGGTTATACCAGCCACATCGGGAGCTCGTCCCCCAATCGCAGACCACACGCGCCACGGGCACCACTGAGTTGAGCGAGGTTTCGGCACGACGCGTCATCTCTTTAACAAAAACAAACAAAACAAAAACATATACATATAAATGTATGTATGTGTGCATGTAGCAACTACAAACCTCTCGTGTGTGCATTTGTGATTGCTCCTATCGCTCCTGCCCGACATTATCAATATATCAACTGAATCAACCAACAAAGGAGGAACATGAAGTGAAGTGAAGCCGAATAAGGCTGTTCTGTTCTGTTCTGTCCCATCGCACATTTATACATCGAACCAGCGTGTCACCAACGCCGCCGATAGCAGAAGACGGAGAAGAATAAATCGCAGCAACGATCCCCAGTCCCATGAGCAACACAATGACAGCCGCCCACGAGCCGACCATCCACTACCTGGACAGCGTTCTCAACGAGGAGGAGAAGCGCTGCGAGTACAGCCATCAGTGGCGCAACTTTACGATCTCTCGCTCCGGCCGCTTCAGGTCAAAGAACAAGAAGCGGGACGTAGTAGATGGCAAGCTGTTTGACGCCAACAGTGGCGGAGCGTCCACGAAGGAGAATGAAAAGGTGCGTCTATTTTACAGCTCCCAGCTACAAGCTTGCGTATCCCTGCTGCCTGATCGAGGCCAGTTGCTTTATCAGCGCAGGCATTCTATAAATATCAGTATATCGCGAGTAGCGACCCATTTTGTGAATTGGGTACGTGATTTCTTTTACTATCTATCAACGCAACAGCTCCACCAATAGTACACCTTAGTACTTCGATGTACCTCGTTTTCGGGCTTCTTCTTTTTGGTATCTTCTTAGCCCCACCATTCCTAGTGAAATGCATAACAATTGTGATTTGTCAGACACTACTACAACACAACATAAGTCAGTCCGGAAAAACGGAAATGCTCGTTAATGAAACGGATGTTGGCTTTGTTGTGATAAGACCTCAAGGCAGTAGTCATGTGGACCTTTTGTAAGATCTGCGCCCGGATATATTTGTTTACCATTCAATGTCACTTGAGGCGTCGAGTGAAACCGAAAACACCAGACGCAAGAAAGAGTGTGATGCTGATGGGAGACTGTAATGATGTGTGGGAGAATGCTGTCTTTGGATACCAAAGACTTATTTAGAGCTCCCTAAAACATCCGATCGTGAGCCTCAAATCTCACCGAAGGTTGCGAAGAGTTTTCTAAGGTAGATCTACAAAGAAAGTTACCAAAATTAAACTATGTATGTACATATATTCTAAGTGCATGTACTTTGGTCTTGATTTATATGTAAAAAACTAAGCCATGATAAGATTAGATTGTAAAGGGAACTTTTTGCCACATTTTGAGTGTTATTTTGTATAAGTTTTGTGTGTAAAATGAATGATTTTATTTGTACCTCAATGGTATACAATGTAGTATAAAAAGTCCTTTATTAGGGTTTAATCCCACCCCTTCATCAAGAGCTACTTACATACAAATAAACCTTGTAGCAATTACAGACAAAGGTGCCATAAACGCGACTCATAAAGTGCAAGCGAAATACACTCAGTGCGCACTCTCTTTTTATAGTCGTTTGTTTGTTTCGCAGGAATGCTTTTTATCAACAAAATGATGAAATTAAACACAATTTTGAGGTTTTAAAAGTATTAAACAGGAACAGAAAAGATGAAATGTTTTGCTTTCTGTTGCTGCCCTGTTCTGATACCCCTGAGACCGGCCCTACCCTAGCTACACCCCGACACACGAATATCAATCTTGCTGGAAACTTTATACCAGCCAGCAGCACACATTTTATGGCGTCAGGACGACCCCCCCGAATGACATTTAATACGCATTTTGCACACAATTTGTATGTTTTCTACTCCATATAACGAGGAAAACATATTCACGAGAGGGTAGTGCCAAAATCAAGGTCTTGGATTTGGTGTCACTCGAATGCTGTATTAATTCGCCGGAACACCACACCAGTTCCTGCGAGCAGTTGGTGACGGGGGCGTGCGTCTGAGGGATGTCCAAGGAGGGCGTGTGGCGCTGATTGCGCAACGCAAATGCATTGACCGATCGATTGATTGCCGGCCGACATTGTTGTCGCGTCATTGTCGTCTGTGCATTGAACTTGAAGAATCGCTTTATGATGCCGACTTGATATTTATATCGGCGACGACTGATGGAGTACGCTCTGCTGACGTTTAAATTTATACACATTTTAAGATCGAAAGGCGTGAGTTTTTCCTACACAAAGATAAAGCATCGTCAATAAAAAGATAGAGAGAGAAAGCGTTTTGCATCAATGACAAGCAATCCAAAGATTCCGCAAGAAAATTCTAGAGAGATCTAGATGGAAGTAGCCGGAATCCTTGAAATCAAATTATGGAAAAGTTTTTGGTGTTATTTTCTGTTTCTTCAATTATAATTGATAATTATCAGCTAACAAAATCAAGGCATAGACCTGTCTGTATGTACAAGGTTTATGAGTATATGGGCATACTATAAAACTAGACGGCTGTGTGTATTGGGGCGAGCCGTATCGCTGATAACAATGAAGCGCAGAAAATATGACGCTGGCTTTTCCAGTTAAATAATAGAAAAGCAGCCATCGATTGGCCAAATACACATGCACTTATTTTGCAAGCTTTCCCCTTTGCCCGAACAGCAAACGGCACAGCGCAAAATATCTGTCTTATCAAAGACAAAAACCAGAGAAATAAAAACAATAATAAATAATTGCACATATTTACGCTATTTATACATACATACATATTTACGCAGATATGTACAAACACTGAAGTGGCATTGAATTTGATTTTAGCTCTTTTTTTGTCCGCGTAACCTGTCAAAAAGGCTTTCAGTATAAATGTCCCCAAGTTTGATTAAAATCAGGTGCTAAATTATAGTTGGTCGGCTCGGGCATGTCTTCTGATTAAGTAGCTTAGTGGAGTCGATTGATTGCTGACCCTAAACGACAAGTGAGATCTGACGAGATTTTCTGTTCGAAAATAAACAAATAAAGATGTCATATAATTTATTTTTAGATCTCAACGCGCAGTTCATCCACCGCATTGCCCAAGTCTACATCCACGGCCACAACAGGATCGGTAACAGGGAGCAGTGCTCGAAGTCAACGCGACAAAGTGGAGAGCTACAAAAGTTTCTACGAGACGAATTTATAGATAGTGGATTTCTATATTCTCTACGCACTTTTACACACAACAGTGCACGACGCTTTGTTATATCAAATTTACAGGGCGAGAGAGGGTTTATTGCAGGACTCGTGGACAACAATGCAATGAAGCATGCTGGAGGGGCTTATATATTCATATATTCAACATAATATATATAATCTAATATACACGCTTTCTTCCTCTCTGAACTTGGATCGATTGTACGTACTTATGGTAAATTATTATCTGCTGCTTGCTTAGATTGTAAAAGTATTAAAACGTGATAATTGCACTAAATTATAAAATATCTTTAAGTTTATAGTTACATAATTGTAATGTATTGTATTGTATGTCTTAAAGTTAGTCAGAAGCAGTACATTTGAGTCTAGCCAATAAAGCACAAGGTTGGATCTAATGAGTCGTTTAATCGTTGCTTCAACACAGTCACCAAGGAGTTAAATCATGATCTGGGGACACCATCACCATCTCCCCGCTCTTCGGGCGCTCTGATGTAGCTCACATCGAGCACGCAGAACTTCGCTCGGCACATCGGGCACGTGCACTTTTGTTCCAGCCAAATGGCGCGATCGACGTCCGTTTGGCGGGCGGCAAACCACCGGGCTAGGCACTCCACACACCACATTGGGCGACAGTAGCAGTTGGAGCAGGAGGCCTCGTTCGTCAGGGGAACGCCATTGCGGTCCACATCTGCGCATTGCTTGTTGATTTTAATGTTCGGATCGATCAGCATGCAGGCGAAGCACTTTTCCGTCGTGGGCTCCGCTTGGAAGACTGGATTGAGCGCCACTTGGGCCTTGAACACATCCACAAAGCGGTCGATGACGTTGCGATGGAACTGTATGTTGGAAGGTATGGCGATGGGACGCCTCAGTCGATCCTCCAAATTTCTGAATTCCAATGCATTGATTCGAATGTGAAAATCTGCGACGCCTTGCCGCATGGGCCGCACTATAATGCTGATCATCTGCAATGTGTCATTCTGATCCTGATGTGTTATATTGTAGGTCTCCGCCTGTAAGAAAAGAAGATTAATAATCGATATCGGGAAAAAGCAAAGCAGGCTGGACCTTGGCCACACTGAGAGCCGTGTTGGTTTGATGCGCAAAGTGAACATTGTACATGGTAGTCTTTATGATCCAGTTCTCCGTTGCTATCACAGTACTGATGGAGTTGAGTTTCTTTTTATAAACTTCCGGCCGACGAAACTCGGTGCTAATGTCGCTGGCTACGACACTATAGCTCCTCGGCGTGTTTGAGTATTTGGCAAGGGCTTTGTTTATTGGATGCCGTCGCCAATTTTGCTGGTGCCAGTTGAATATCAGGGCGGGCACTGCGAGCACGGCCAGAATGCTGAACCGCTGGGCCGTCTTCCACGTGAGGGTCTTGAACGCCACAGCTTCCTGGGGCATTGGAAAATCTGGGTCAAGCTCAGAGTCTTCGAGAGGCTCTTGCGTGGCAAAAACGGAGAACTTCAGCCTATGGATTAGAAAGTATGCAAACGGCAGGCACGAGTGCACAAATAGATTTAGGGAGGTGCGCCTCAAGTGGTATCCTACGAAGTCCATTGATTCCACTCCAAGAAACCTTGAGAACAACTGTTCGATGGTGAAGCCAAGCCGCTGAAATTCCTCCGGCGGATATATTATGACCATACATAGCAAAAAATAGAACAGATTGAAGAGCAGTTCTGATTCGTCCATGTTTCGAATAATATTGCTGGATTCCCAACTCTACCGGAATAACTTAAAATAGGAAACTTGATTGGATTTACGGATTTACTGTAAGTTTTCTGTAAAATTGTAAATAAATAAAAGTGTACGGTCTGACCCCCGGAAATATTCCTATTATACCAAATTAATGAAATATACTACATTATATACCGATATTTATACCATAACACATGAGTGAGTGAATGAACTTAACCCACTTAGACCCCCTTTATTTACATTGGTTGCCAAATTGAGTTGAACTTCGAAAAATAATACTCATCTTGTAGATCCTTCCTCCTGACGCACACAAAATCGCACCGATATAACTTTCACTTTAACTGCACTAAAAGGTTTAAAGTTCAAGAAGTTATATACCCGGTACTCACAGAGTGCAAGGGTATATTAGATTCGTGTAGACGTAGGTAACTGCCTGTCTCGGCAATGGCAGCGTCTCACAATGTTCCCTCTCTATTTCTTTATGAAGAGGTTTCATCATAGCATCCATGTCTGTCTTCCCGCCCGTCCCTCTTGTTTGACGCCTAGTCTTTAACATATTTATACATTTTTGGCTATCTCCAATTAGACATTCTGAAGGCCATAGCTACCTGTACGAGCAGTGAGTGGTCAACGATTGTGCTTCTGAAGAGATACTAGCCCATGTTGTGTTTCTTTTTATATTTGGTTTTTTTAAATAATTCGTACTTTCGTAAAATATACAAATTTGTGGTGAATTTGTTGTTAGGTTACATAGACATAGTGGTTGAAGAAATGGAAATGCTTGATAATAACGCACCGCACCCGTCGTGGAACTGTCTCAGTAGCCGCGAAATGGACAACAAACCTACATACAAACACACATTACATACACGTTTGCCGTGAATCTTAGACTCTACTTGGACCTTATAGGTGTAAGCATCATATAACTAGGCCCACATTTGCACGCCGACATCGGCTAACACAACGTATAACGTATAATGTATAAATGCTCGTACATGAACATTGTATAGACTTAAGCTAATATGGTTAACTGAATGGAATGTCTGGCTTGTTGTCTGTAAACTAAGTAAGTATGGTGAAAACGTTTCATTTACATATTTATGTGTGCATCTACTGCTGCAATTCACTCAAGTTCGGAATGTTGCTGGCGTAGTCATCGTTCGAAGCTGAGCTGGAGTCGTTGGTTAGTTCAAAGCTATTATCACCGCTTGTACCAGTGACCGTCGTCAGACTGGAGTCGTTGTTGGAATTCTGCTGCTCGGAATTGCTGAGGTTTGGCAGGGATGCATCTGCGTAGTCCCCCTCTTCGTCTTCCTCGTCATCATCTTCGTCGTTACTCAAACTGCTTGTGCTACAGCTGTCGTGATGGGAGCCTTCGCCATTCTCAGCGTTCAAATTTAAAGCACTTATCATTGGCAAATTACTGAGGCTTGGCGTTGTCGGCGTGGTGGTGGAATTGACAGATGCAGCATCCGCAGCGACAGGGCCGCTTATCTCGGCGGGGTTATCAATTAAAAGGGTGATTATTGGGATATTGGGTGGATCGGTAGCGCTGCTTCCATTGCTGGTCTTCTCCAGCGCAGTGGACGCCGTTGTCATTGATGCTTCTGAGTTGTTGATGAGTATAGACAGATTGGGAATATTTTGTGGAGGAGGTTGCTCTGGCTGCGCTGTCTCCTGTATTTGTTCGCTGGGATTGAGGATTGTTAGATTGGGTATGTTGGGTATATTGGGTGTGGTTGTGGTTGCAGTCGCAGTCGCAGATGTGGCGCCTGTCGACGCGTTTGGGCTGGCAGTCTGGCTGGTCTTCTGATGTCGAGAGGAGCGAGGTGGCGCTGTGGGAGGAACACTCGCAGATGGTTGCGGCAAACTCTTGTCGCGCCGCACCATGTGCTTGTCAAAGTAATCCAAGTTGAATCCCATACTACCCTGGCCAGCCGCATTCAATGCCGCCGTGTTGGGCAGATAGCTGGGATCTGTCACCTCTGTGTCCACGTCCATATCGTCGCCCAGCTCCAGGCTGAAATGCGCTGCAGGGCCATCAGTAGGGCGCTCTGGTTTGGGTTCTTCAATAAAGCAGGGATACGTGAACCTTTCATATACGAATGAAGCAAATAATTTCAGCCTTACCGTTCAGAAAATTTAGCGCCACGAAATCAGCGGCACTGTAAAGTTCTGCTTCAACTAGAAGCTGCAGTAGCACTCCGACAGTGGGACGCTCGTTTAGCTTCCCCGACGTTTTCCACTCATCAATCATTACCTGCGATATGCTTTGATCGGGAGGCAACCTCTCCGCCACACCGTCAATCAGGCTTATGTCTTGAGCTGTGTACTTGCGCCCGCCGTTGGCACTAACCTTCACCGCACCGGCTGCGCTGCAGGCCTGCACGTCCACCTTGGGTATGATGGACATAAGCTTTCGCCAGCAGGCATTCACATCCAAAATTGTAGCCAGCTTGTAGATGTCGTTATCCTCGACTCGCCGCAATTCAGTGGTGCGCGTATATTTTGAGGAACCATTTCCCTGCACTTCTACTCCGCACCAACCGTTCGCCTTTGCCATGTTAATGTGATCTTCTAGAGGTTTCTCTTCCAGTGGGCGTGCGCTTTGTGCGAGTTGTTTGTTTGTGTTTCCAACTGTCCAGCCTTTGCATGTGCGTTATAAAAACATTTTTGCATTTCTTCAACAACAATTGCAAATTCACAGCTGTTTGCTGCGTGGAGCGGAGAGACTCAGAAAAGAGCAAAAGAGGGCGCAATTATGAGTATTTTGAAAGTCGCTTGTCCGAAGAGGCCATGTTATCGGCAAACAGTATAATTATTTGCTACGAAATATTAAAGAAATGGAATAATTGCCAAAGGAAGTTAAATCGATTTGAAATTGGGCATGCAAAATGGCTTGATTCTGATACTATCTTACAAAATGCTAACAAATTGAGAACCGTTGGGTGGCCTTCGTTGCCATATTTCTCATAAATAATCTGCAGATTTAGCGGTATATAGGCACGCAACGTGAAACTGTTGATTCAAGCAGCGGGACGCAATTAAAAAAGATAATGCGGAGTTAAAGGACAATATCATGAGCTTACGGTTTTGTTAAATTATTTTGAGAAGTGGGAAAGCCGTCTACGTTAAGTTCCGTCCATAATTAACTGCAATAGATGGAAAAGTTCTGAACGCATTGACAGGGAATAAATCCACTCAAGGTTGTCCAATTTGTGGCGCTAACCCAAACGACTTTTTCAACATTAAAAATTTCAAGTCGGAACAGTTTCTGCCAATACAGAGTAGCTTAAATTACGGGGTGAGTCCATTGCACTGCTGGATACGGTTTTTTGAATTTTTTGTACACGCGGGATATAAATGCTGTTTAAGTAAATGGAGGATATCCAGTCAAGATGATAAAAAAGGAAGCACTTAAAAGAAAAATGATGATGCAAGATTTGTTCAGGAAGAGGCTGCTCTAATCGTATATCAACCAAAAGTTGGTTACCAGCCTTAACTATACTATACCACCTAAATACTTATAATCATCGATGGAATTGCATGGAAATACGAGTACCCTTGCCGAAAAAATATCGACTGGGGTCATCGATATGACCGATAAATAAAACCAGAAAGTTGCTCAAGTTCAAATAAATAAAAACATTTTAATGTGTTTTTTTTTTTAAAGAAAATTGGACGGAAATGCATTTACATGAAGTTTGTTGGTATAAAAACAGCACAAAATATTGGACACAAATAATAAAAAATCAGAAACCTGATTTCTGCTTACACTTATAAAATTGCTTCGTTGCTAGATCCAAAAATACGTTCAAAAATTATTTGTAAAAGGTTTGCTTTTGTCCCATTTTGGGCTACTTAATCTTATATAAGGTCACTTTCTTAACTTGCTACCATATGTATGCATATGTGTTTTGATGTTTGTGCATATATGTGATCAATTCGAAATCGTTACGTTTGGGTATTCAAGAAAATACGGAATGCTTGGTTGACCTTTTATCTTCTAAACGAGACTCTTGGGTTTGTTTGTGTAATCTATTCAGCTTTGCGCTTTGTCTAGTCCTGGACGGCTCTTCGTTTCTTACTGCCTAATAAGCTTATCAGCTTCCTGATTTGTCCTACATTTAGTGATTTGTGTAAAAGAAGGTTGTGATAACGAGCAATACGCTCATGATCAGCGCCGTATTAATGTTATGGCCATGGCGCCTAATTGCGGCATTGCGCGTGGTCTTGCCCATTTGGAAGCGCAGCGTGGGGCTGGACATCCGACCGTCGCCTCCGTTGCTGAAGGCAAGCACGCGCATGTTGTAGCTCTTGCCCGGCGTGAGGGTGTTGATGTACGACTCCAGCTTCTGTCCCACTTGCACGATTGTGTTGTTGGCAGTGATCATGTTCTGATCCGTTTCCCAAATGCGAACCTAGGAGGAACAAGAAGTTAATTCAAAGAGTCCATTAGCTGGGATTAGCTCGCCTTACCTTGTAGCCTTCAATCGGCTCCTCGTCCTGCGAGGGTGATACATATCGCCATACAACTCGCACGGTGGACGGATTAATGCCATAAACATGCACCGATGATGGCGGCTTCTGTGGCGCCTTGCGATATGTGCGTTCTGGAATGAAAGGCACAATTAAGTAACGAAATCTCTTGCTAGTTCTCGCTTGAGACAACCTTCGAATCGTTCGCTCTCGGGTCCCTCGCCTGCAGCATTGTAGGCCATCACTTTGACAAAGTAATAGGTGTCCGGTTGCAGACCGACAATTAGCGCCCAATTTCTTGTCGTGCGTGACAGATAGTACACGGAATCTTCCTCCTGGTGCGTCGTCTTCCAGTACTTCAACTATAATATAATAAATGTATAATAAATAAATTCAGCTCGACTCCTAGTCCCTTTCGAATCTTACCCGATGACCAATTAGCTTGCCGCGGATACTCTCACGAGACATGTCAATGGGCTGCCAGGTGACATTGAAACAGGTCGAATTGAAGGCCAGAGCGAACGGCTTCTGCGGCGCCACTTGGGGCATGTCCTCTGCTGAATGAATAATGGCGACCTCGCTCTCTGGCCCCTTGCCAATGCTGTTGATGGCCTGCACCTTGACCTCGTATTCGGTGTAGTAGTTGTTTAGCGGAATGTTGACCACGGCCACGCCCATATTCTGTTTCTTTATCTCATCTGAAGCCCACTCAAGGGCGCCCTTCAATTTCCAAAATACTTTGTAGCGTATGCCGTGGCTGTGCTGCTCCTCTGGCAGCAGCGGATCCCAGGTGATGGTCAAGTCACCGATCTTGCCACCGCCGCCTCCCACTCTCCTGGGTGCTATGTAGGGCTTATCTTCGTACGTGCTGTAGATGGGCGAGGGCGCCGAGGGCGTACCTATGCCCAGGTCGTTGACAGCCGTAACACTGAACTCGTAGGCAGACCACGGAGTCAGGTTTACCACCTCGGCCTGCTGCCGCGATGTGTAGCGATCGACTTCACGGGCCTGCACATGTGTCGACACATTCACCCAGGTGCGGTTCCAGTTGGTGCGACCCAGGATGTTGTAGTACCGGATGGGCCGGCCATTGTTGGCTCCGTCCACCCACTCGATGATCGCTTTCGTCTTGCTAATCTGAATCACTTGAACGCCGCCTGGGGCGCCGGGTGCTCCCTCGATGACCACGCTGGTCTTGCTGCTGATCTCATTGACGGCCGACTTGACGACGCACTCATAGTCGCCGGCGTCCCGCATGGTGGTGTTGTGCACCGTCAACCTGTTCCAGTCAACAATCTGTGGATAATGCGGTTAATGCTAGTTCTGCTTTCAATACTGATCAATGAGGTCTTACAATGCGCTCAGTGCCGTCATGATTATTCTTTAGAGTCTCCCCGTTGTGCTTCCAGACGTAGGCAATGTCCAGCAGCTCATCATAAGCGGCCTCGCAGTGAAGGTAGATCAGATCGTGCTCCTTGGTGACGATGCGCTGGGGCGGTGTCTGAATGAAGCGTATTTCCTCTGTAAATAGAAAACAAATTTGCTGGCTAGAGTCGAGGAGAGTTGAGTAGAGCTTTGAGCTTACGTAGCACAATGACGCGTGCATGGGACTCGTCTGTGCCAGCCTGGTTTGAGGCACTGCACGTGTACATGCCCTCATCGTCGCGAGAGGTGGGTGATATAATCAATGTGCCGCTGGGCAAGATGCGACGATGTCCGCCCGAGCCCAACAGCTGTCCGTCCTTTTTCCACTGGAACTTGGGCCGCGGAGCTGCCTCGGGGTCGCAGACGATCGTTGTGTTGCCATTGTAAACGGCATAGATCTCGGACTCGAGTGGATGCTTCTTGAAGGATGGCTTCATGGATAGTACTCGCAGCTGGGCCGAGGAGAAGGAGGTCTTCAGCTGGTTCTGTGCACCGCACTGGTACATGCCTTCGTCCTTCTCCCGCTCCAGAAACTTGATGGTCAACACATTGTCCTGGATCACATAGCGATCCCGATTGATGGTCAGCGGATCGAGACGCTCGGCGTTTTTGTACCAAGTGTAGTTGGCATCGGGAATGGCAAACGCCTCGCAAATGAAGGTCACATCGCTGTTGTAGTCCTTGATCATGTCCTTTAGCGGGATGGTGAATTCGGGGCGCATCTGAATGTTTATGTAGATGCTCTTCTCCAGCGTCTTGCGCGGATTGCTTATGGTGCAGCTGTACTCGCCATTGTCGTTGGTCGTTGCATTCTGAATGATCAGCACGCGCCCGTAGTTGGCCGTGTACGCATTGCGCTGCAGTGGCAGGCCCTTGCGTGTCCAATTGTATGAGGGAATGGGATAGCCGAAGGCCACGCACTCCAGCCGGATCTCACTGCCGGCCACTGGTGCTTCCGGGAAGACCTTTGGGAAGGTGTTGGCAAATATCAGAGCCTGATAGTTGCTGTTTGGCGTCACGCGCAGCGGGAAGAAGGGCCCATTGCGACCCGTGTCCGAGACCAGAGTCTGCACAGTGCACGAATAGTTGGCCCTGTCCACTGTCTCGATGAACGAGAAGTAGAGGGCTCCGTCGCGGGAGACAAACACCCGCTGGTCCTCCTCCACAAAGTTCGGGAAATAGTCGCGGGCCCAGTAGTAGCGAATTTCTGGGTAATGCTGCGGTGGATCGCAGAATATCGACTTTCCCCAGTTCATCTCGCTGGTCTCTGCTGAACGCTTTAGATTGAACTCCATGATGAAGCCAAAGTTCAGGTGCGCACTCTCCGAGCGGATGCGGCCGAACTTGTTCTCGGCCACGCAGTGGTAGGCTCCCTGGTCGAGGGCCTGCTTGGGCTCGTATATGATTAGATTGCCACCCGATATCGTGTAGCGATCCTGCGCCAGGGGATCAATCTTCTGGTACTCCAGCGTGTCATTCACATACACCTCGCGGTACCAGTAGTAGGACGGTGTGGGGAAGCCACCGGCCAGGCAGCTCAGTGTCACATCGTTGATCAGACGATTCTTATTCACGTCGAAGGTGGTGTCGTTCGGCTGTTTGACAAAGTACGGACCACGGGGTATGCGCTCCATGTCCCTTATGTCCAGGCCATAGTGATAGGGCCGCTTATCGTCCAGCTTAATGTTGACATTGTCCGGAGTGTACAGCACACGAGACTCGCAGATGAAAAGATTCAATTCGATCTCGTAGGCGGGCATAAACATCCACCTGTCCCGCTTCTTTGAGTAGGCATAGACAACGCGGTCACGCGCATAGCCGTAGTCGCCA